ACCAAAGCACAAATTTAAAAAATAAATTAGAATATAAAAAACTAAGACAATTCAAGAAATTGCCATTTCAGTTTGAATGTTGAACTGAGTTGCTAAAGCCAAAATAAGCAGAACACTAGCTAAAAGTTAAATGTAGCAAACATCTAGTGAAAAGTACTAAAATGATAGCTACAAAATAAGTCTGTAAAACAAAAATAGAACAAGCACACCTTTAGCATATTACAAAGAGAGCAATGTATTTCAAGGGACTGAAAATATCTCAGTGTCTTTCTACAACCCCTGGCAAAAAGTAWGGAATCACCAGTCTTGGATGAGCACTCATTCAGACATTTCATTCTGTAAAACAAACTCAGATCAAAAACATGATACAATAATAAGATAATTCCAAAGTGCAACTTGCTGGCTTTCAGGAACACTCAAATAAATGAATGTAAAACATTGTGGAAGTCAGTGAATGGTACTTTTATTGACCAAGCACAGGGGGAAAATATGGAATCATTCAATTCTGAGGAAAAAAGTATGGAATCATGAAAAACAGATGAACAAAAAACCATTCAAAATACATCACTAGTATTTAGTTGCACCACATTTTTGGCTTTTATAACAGCTTGCAGTTTCTGAGGCATGGACTTGATGAGTGACAAACAGTATTCTTCATCAATTTGGTGCCAACTCTCTTTGACAGCAGTTGTCAGATCAGCTTTGCAGGTCGGAGCCTTCTTGTGGCCCATTTTTTTTTCAATTTCCACCACAGGTTTTCAGTTGGGTTGAGATCTGGACTATTTGCAGGTCAGGACATCGACTGACTGTGTCTTTCTCCAAGGAATGCCTTCACTGTTTTTGCCCTATGGCACGATGCATTGTCATCTTGGGAAATTATTTCATCACCTCCAAACATCTGTTCAATTGAAGGGAAGAGAAAACTGTACATGTCAATGTAAACTTGTGCATTGATAGAAGAATTAACCACAGTCATGTCCCCAGTGCCTTTGCCTGACATGCAGACCCATATCATCAAGGACTGTGGAAATTTGGTTGTTTTCTTCATAAATCTCACTGGAACGGCACCAAACAAAAGTTCCAGCATCATCACCTTGTCCAATGCAGATTCTTGACTCATCTCTGAAGATAACTTTCATCCAGTCATCCACAGTCCATTATTGCCTCTCCTTAGCCCATTGCAGTCTTGTTCTTTTTTCTTTAGGTGTCAATGATGGTTTTCTTTTAGCTTTCCTGGATTGAAATCCCATTTCCTTTAGGTGATTTCTTACAGTTCGGTCACATACATTGGCTCCAGCTTCCTCCCATTTATGATCCATCTGTTTAGTTGTGCTTTTACAGTTTTCAAGACAAATGGCCTTAAGTTGTTTGTCTTGATGCTTTGATGTCTTTCTTGGTCTACCAGTACACTTGGCTTTAACAACCATTCCATGCTGTTTGTATTTGGTCCATATCTTGGATACAGCTGACTGTGAACAGTCCACATCTTTAGCAACCATGYGTGAAGAGTTACCTTCTTCAAAAAGTTTCACAATCCTCTCTTTTGTTTCAAGAGACATTTCTCTTGTTGGAGCCATGGTTCTTGCCACTCCACTTTGTCCAGCAGCCCTCCAAGGTGACATGACTGTAGGTGTTTTTAACTGCAGACTAACAAGCACATCTAATCTGAGGCAGGTGTCCATTTAGGGCAAGGAAATTGACTGGGTGTGTCCTTCCAACTTGAGTGATTCCATACTTTTTCCTCAGATTTTTTTTTCCTCAGAATTGAGTRATTCCATATTTTTTTTCCTGTGCTTGGTCAATAWAAGTAACATTCACTGACTTCTACAACATTTTCTCTTCATTTCTTTGAGTGTTCCTGAAAGCCAACAAGTTGCACTTTGGAATGACTTTTTATTGTATCATGTTTTTGATCTGAGTTTGTTTTACAGAATGAAATGTCTGAATGAGTGCTCTTCCAAGACTGGTGATTCCATACTTTTTGCCAGGGGTTGTATTAAAAAACATTTGTAACTAAAGTAAATATTTTTAAGTTATCACATGTTGTGTTGCATTATTGGTTCCTAATCTTTCCACAGAACCCTACTTCAACTTTCATGCTAAAACTAGTCAGTTATTCACAGAAGTATAAAGCTCAGGCAGCTGGATTTGTTGCATTTATCACTGGCTGTAAGGTCACAGTTTGCTTTCTTTTTCATGCATGTTCACATTGAAAGCCAGGAAATACCACATAAGCCATTGGATTAACCTCCCAGTGACACATTGTCAGATGAGCTAAGTTATTACAAAAAACACCAAAACATAAAACAATCTAACAAAGAATGATTTTTAAATCTATAGAGCACGCTGGGCCTTAAATACCATATATACACTTGTAGATAGGGTTTGAATTAAAGTAAATAGTTGCACCATTAACATGTTACCCATATGATGTGGKTGTGTTGAAAATGTAGATTATTCTGTAATTCATTGTGCTGAGGAGGATAGAGTCATTGACAGTGATAAATGTTCACACACAAAAGCAGCACAGCAGGTATCAGCTTTTTTAGACTCAACACTCAGAACGACAAAGAAGGTCCGACACAAAAGAGTGAAACTGGACCTTTTTGCTGCTTCTTTCATGTCAAATGGAAACTGTCTTGTGGTGATAGTTTGGATTGATTCAGGTTATTGTTACCTTCACACAAAACATGCTGGAGACAAAAGTGGATACACCATTTTTTTCCTTTCTATGAATACGTAAAGATGAAACAATTCCATGTCAAGAAATAGGCCAACACATTAATTAATGTAGAGGAAACTTACCACAATTCAGAACCAAACCTGCTAATCAAAATCAAGTTATTAGGGAAAAAATGCAGCACATCTTAAGCTAAACTGTAAACCAGTGTTCATCTGTTATGCAGTAAAAACTAGTAATRTCACATAGTAAAATATGGATTTATTATTAAAATTATTTTGGTTGCCAACCATGCAGAATACGCTGAAAGCAAAGGAGTGTATACATTTGATCTTACACTGCCATCTAGAGTTGTAATGAAAATAATACAGTTTACAGAAACAGGTTTTTCTAGTCTGCCTCGTTATTCCTGTCCCTAAAAAAAATTATTTTATTCTACTCTTCATAAATCACAGCTTAAAAATGTGACAAATGTATTGTTTGTGTGTATTATCTTTGTTTTAACAAGACCATAACAGCACATTGGAAACTATTGGAATAACAATTATTGGAAAGTCTCTTTGAAAAGAAAATGTGCATGTGAACTTGTGATGGCCTCAGCCACACATTGGTAGATTCAGTTCACACACTCACCTCATCAGTTTATTTTATTGTGCAGCTGAACATGTTTCCTGTAAAAATAATTATGTTTCTCCTTTTATTTGAGTTACCTGGTTTGAAGAGGTAGCTCCTGTTTGAGCAAAAGGTGTGGCCATGAGCTGAGGACTTTGAAAATGCCAGCTCAGCAGGACCAACCACGTGCTTGTCTCCAAGGGGGGTGTTTTAATTTTAGTAAGATCATTTGGTCCTTATTCAGCTTATTACCTCAGCCAAGGAGGTTATGTTTTTCTTTTACCTCTGCCAAGGAGGTTATGTTTTTGGTTGCTTATGTCTGTCTGTCTGTGGACAAATTTACTCAAAAATGTATGGACGGATTTTCTTTAAATTTTTTACCACAGGTGGGTATTGGCCAAAGGAACACACCGTTAAATTTTGGTGATGATCCAGATCACAATCCAGATCCAGGAATTTTTGAAGGATTTTTCACTTTTGCAGGCTGGGGGACACGGCYTYGGCAGAGGTTTGTGCTCTCTGAGTGCTTCTAGTTGATGTTTAGATTGATTTCCCAACAGTGTTTAAATGGTTTGACCTAGTTATTATATAAGATATCCTTCTGTGTCTTTGTGTAAAGTCAGCTTGGTGAGTTAAGGTCCCCTTACGTGGTTTCCTCAGTTAATATTCTTTAAAGGGGAAATGTCATGCAAAATCCACTTTTTAGCCATTAAACGCATTGTGTATGTAGAGTTTCTAGGAGTGCAGAGAAGTTTAATTTAGTCTCTCCTGGTGCTGCAAAGATATCTATGTCCTGTTTGCGTCATTTTTTCAAYGTGTTCAGTTTTCTCTATTGATGTTTTCTGAACTATTCCATTACAGTATTTGCAACGGAACTTCTAATTAAGGCCTATACATATCAACTCAAATTTTGTCATCTCATTTATTATAGTATGGAATTGAACTATACAGTATGCCTGAGAAACACATAGCATTGGCCCTTTAATAGTCATGTCTTATTGTGAAACATGGCACAATGTGAATTCTTCAGCAAAGGGAAAAACGTGTAACTTTAGCTCCGGTGTTTAATTTAAATGAGAAACAAAAATCAGTTCTTTTCAGTTTGTTGTGCAACAAGCTTTCCATTTGTGTGATGAGGGGGGTTTTCCAAAATTATGGCAGAATAAAGAGCTGAAACAAAATGTTTTAACTTATTTTTGTAATTTATTTATGATATAGATATGCACAAGTTTAACAGATCAACAGAAGTAAATATCTGGGACTCTTGTTTTGTGCATTTTCAGACCCAGGAGCCAATCAACCTCCAGGAATTGCCCATGATCCAAGCGTGCACATAAGTAATCAAAGGAGCGGTTTCAGTTTAGATGCAAAACATAAAGACCTTATGATTCAGGGGTCAAAATGAAATGTCTCTATGTGCAAATAGTTATATTTGTTCTTTCATTTATAAATAAAATATTATTTTGCAATCAGCTTAAATAATTTTACATCCACTGTGACACATGGCTTAATTGTCCTGTTTAAATAAATGCTGTGAATCTATAAAACATAGCATTCACAATATAGAGTACATTTTGTGCAAGGATGGTAAACTATAGCACAAGCAAATATGTTCTTGGCCCTGAAATAAAGAGATGTAGGCTGAAAAATAAAAGATAAACCCATACAGTGGGACACATTCACATTTACACATCATAGACAAATGCTGTTTGTGTGAACAATGCTAACTTTTTTTATTAGGACAAATTTAAATTTTACAGTCTGACCTACTAACAGACCATATAATTTTATTAAGCTAACACACCAGTTTTCCAATCAAATGTACTACAATAAATATACTGGAGCATCACATTTTTATGACACTCAAACAACAAACTACAACAGGCAATGATAAATTATTATGTTTAGCTGTGCATATTGGCATTTTGATAGTTGCTTTTAACAATAACTTAGTTCACAGATTCCTTCATACTATACAGCACAAATTACACATCACTCTTTTCCAATGACTCACAGGTAATGGCAGAAATYCCCCCCAAAAAAACAGGAAAGGGCAACAGTAAAAAATATGACCCCCAGTTGTTGCAAATTAAAATTATTGCAGTTTTCCACTTGACTGAAGTACAACTCAATGAATAGCCCTCACAATTGCCATATATTTTTATTGTTGATTGAGCAAAAAAGTAGTGTTGAAAAAATAAGTTTTCTTTTTGAACTAGTCTGACCAGAGTTTTAGTGATWAGCAAACTAACTAGACTGAAGTATTGTTATTTTAAGAGCATCGGTCCCAATGATAGAGCTGTAGTGTCATGGTACGATGTGTCCCTCCGAATTCGCAAGTTGTGACCCGGTTGGCAGAGCTGCAGGAAAACATTATTATAATATAAGTACTTCTTGTCAAACTATATGATGTATAAGTAAGCAACTAGTTATACTTACAGTTGTGCAATTGTTGTTTGCCAGCAGACACAAGTGGATCTTGCAGTGCAAGTGGATCTCGTCCGAGTTTTGAAAGGTGAACATCCCAAATACAAAACGTGCCACAGTGGAGACACCATTCTGAATCACAGCTACAGTTTTATCAGCTGGATTTGGGCACCTGTAAGTCAAGGATAAGGTATTGTTACAGTAAGTTACAGAGTTAAGTTGTAAAGAAGAAGGAGAGGAGAACGTGAAATGAAACAAGCTTGTTTACATTGAAACAATGAGATCCCAGCGGACAGGGTTGGTAGGGCTGTTGTCTGGTGTGGCCCAGCACGAGTCCAGGACTGTGGAAACCTGTTTCTCATCCACTGCCTCTGTTCGCACCTCCACATACACCTTCTGATTTAATGTCACGTCTAATGTACTGTTCATGAAGGCGAGCTTGAAGTCTTCATCCACGTAGGGGATCATTCTCACTTTATACAAACTGCTGCCAGGTGGAAGTCTTTTTATTATATTGCTGTAATAGAAAAAAAAAGTGCAAGCATTTATAAGCTTCATCAACAAAAACAAATCTAACAGTAAAGTGTTTATTTTCATTTTTGTGCAGAGGATAGGTTTGTTAGTTTAGTTGCAGCACAGAGTCCACCAGGGGTCATAGGTAGAAATAAAATTTGATATAAAATTATATTAAAATTTGGAATATGACTTGTTCAAATAAAAACTGACTTTAGCATCTTAATTTTTTGTGTAACACTCGAGCACATTTTATGCGATCATTTATTAACTTTGGACTTTGTCCAAAATTTACACACAACTTTGTGTGTTTGTTATTAAAGCAGGCCTTAACATCTCTGTGTGACAGCCTCTTAAAGTCCTCAAATTATATGTCTGCTATGACCAATGGGGATCCCCATGGCTATAGAGGTTCTTTGACATTCATCTTAATTAAAATTGAAGCTTTTGTTAGTTGCAAATTATGAATTGTGTCAAAAATGTACAATTCATCAAAAATACCATTATAGACTAATATGATAACACTAAATTATTTTTAAAAGCAAACAAAGCAGACAGTGTCATCACCTCTCCACAGGCTTAAGTTTCACAGTCATTGATGTTGATTCATTCAGAGGATAAACGCAGGAGTAAATCAAGTTGACGGGTTGTGTACGTCTGATTAAACTTGTGTTCGTTTCTACGCCACCCAAAATGGCATTTTCATACATGAAGTGTGTTTCATTGCTCTAGACAAGAGAAAAAGACAAAACATTATAGGTTGACTGTAGAAACTTAATTCAGTTTACATTGGATGTCATTGATTACAACCATTACCTTTAGAATGGTCCCACACTGGTGGTCATCGTTGTCGAAGTTGAACACGAGTCGACCGTCCTGGAGAGTCGCAGTGCAGGAGGTATTTCTGAGATGGAGCGCATCGGAGTTGAGACCTGCTTCAAACAGCTGGCAGCGGGACAAAGAAATGGTGCTTGAACTGCCAGAACAAGTGAGGACTGAATCTGTTCAACAGAGAAAGAAAAAAAATTGAAGGTTTAATGGCAAAAATAATAATAAAAAAATAGGATGCAATACATCAATATGATTAATGGTATGTAGATTGTGTAGAAAAAATAGAATGGTTGTAAGAACACAAGCAATTTGTAAATAAACAAAAATAAAAAAAGAATTACAATACACAGAGATAATGTTATTATGCTCCAAAAGTGGTTACTACAATACTGTCATCAGTTATATAAGCTAAAAACAAAGCAGTGTTTAAAAGGTGTTACTCTCACCAAAGCTTTCAGTGTTGGGTCTATGATTTTCATCACAGAAACAGCCGTACACACCATCTTTCTGACCACACCACTCATATTCTCCACAGTCCAGCTGCTCACAGAGGTCTGCCACATCTAAAGAAATATCAGAGGAACAAGTTATAGAAGGCAAAAAAAAAGAAAACATTAATCAAACTGTTCAAGAAAAATCAGCAGGCATATTGTCCAGAAAGTACAGAAAGTATACTTAAGGTATAGCAAAGATCACTGCCAGCATACCACAGTGCAAAGCAGAGCGCCAGTCGGAGATGTTCAGTCCCAAAACAGAGCAGGTTCTGTCATAGGCTGAGATGTCAGAACACAGCATGCCATTGGCTGGAGTGTAGAGGCAGAGATCATAGACACAGGAGTCAAAGAATGGCTGTGGGTCAGAGTGCAGGTGACAGGAACTGAATGGACCGCTGGTGTTGGTGATGATGCTGCAGAGGTCGGTGTATTCTTTGATTAAGCTACAGTTACTAAGTCCATTATATCCTACATCTGTGGCTCCACATCTGGAAAAACAGTTATAAATTTATGATTTGGGGCTTTTTGTGGTTGTCACATATAAATCTCTGTACACAATGTCACAGCTTAAGGAGGATAAATGTAAGGAATTAAAAAGGCACAGCTCACCCTGTTTGACTGGTTGGTGATTTCCAGCTRTCACCAAACTGATTATCATTTTGTGCAACTGTGCCATTTGGCAACACTTTGTCATCAGTGGGATCACCATTGAAGTTCCCACACATCCCAGTGATTCTGTTCTGATAGTGTTGGCCAATCCTGACCAGTAAAGTGCTCCGACCATCAAACTGAACTTTGAAGTCAACACCATCAAACACAATGTAGCTTCCCTGCTTCATCACCTGACCAAAGGGTCCTGCAGAGGTGGGAAGAGACTCCTCTGTTCCATTTACCTGCAAAGATGAGAGTTCAGAGAATACAATAAGAAGCTTGGAAAGACGTACAAAGTTAATCACCTTTAAATTAAGATAAAGTTTACCTTCACTCTTATGTTGGGTCCAAGTCTCACATGTATTTCATCTGACTCATTTGAGAGGTAAATATCTACTGACGACACAAATGACACACGGTTTTTGCCGCGATGATTGTTGGTGGCTATGACACTGAACTGGGTTTCACTGTTGCCCACTTTTTCAATAATAATGTAAGAACATGTCCCCTGGAAATGGGCCAGAGCTCCATCRAAGGTAATGTAGTGTGGGTCCCCCATCACAGTGCAGGTAGACATTGCATCATAACATCCCAGCTGGCCATCTCTGATGGTGCACTCCTGTGTGGGACTGCATGATACAGGAGTGCAGCGCAGGTCATTGGGACCACGACATTCACATCTCTGGGAGCAATCATTTGTCAGAAAGCTCTCACCAACCTACGGCGCAGAAGGAAAACTCTATTTAGATTGTTGCAAAATGTTTAGAAAAACAGAAATTTAGGGGAAAAAGGAAATATATAATGGTATTTGTCTATGTTGTGTATTTAATATGTGAACATATGACCTTACATGCACGTTTTCCTTCCAAAATGACAATTACATAACATAATTTTCCACATTTTTTCCCTTTGCCACTTGTTTAATTATCTGACAATGACAACACTTTCCTGCTGCCAGCCCACTATTCAAGTTTGTAACAGAACAAAGCAAAAATAAAAACAAGTTAAAACAAAAATGTAAGTAATTAATCATAAAATGCCTTAAAAGTAACTTACCTTATGGTAGCTATCATTAAATGTGCAGCCAAAATCAACACGGAAAACCCAGCGTCCAGGTCTGTTGACGTTACTGTTGTCGCTGAAAACTGAGTTCTCTCCAGTTGCATCACTAGACATAGATCCAGGAAGATTGAAATAGTGAAGGGAGTTGACTGTGTCATAACCAGCCTGAAAATGACACATCATACAGATTAAAACATTTTTATTGTTCTTTTGTGAACAGTGGCACTTGTACTCTAACTCAAAGAAAAGGCCAATTAACATGTTTCACATTATTGACTCTGTTTGTTTAAATGGCTCTGACCTGTACATAATTTGTTGTGGGTRCTAAATACCCATAATTTATCATCACAAATGAGTATTGCCCATCAGTAGTCAAGACTGCCTGAAATGTTACCTGTCAGGGGCAAAAAATGGTTGTTAGAGTGAATATGTAAATGTTGCAGAAGACTAATGATCTTATTGGACTAAACAAAAAAATGTTCTGAATTAAATCAAAATTACGTACTGGTGAAGGCTGTGAATTGTAAAAAACCTTATCCCATGTTGCTATAAAGACCCATTTAGCAACAAAGTTTAGTTCTGGGAAGTATTCATTTATGTCTCGTGTAACTTGGTGGAGCAACTGGCCACTGATGTGTTGATCATAGTAGATGTCACCACCAGCTGCATTGTTTAAATCTGTCCAGAACGGAGCAATGATGTCTCTGGTTCCAAAAAATGGAATCCTTTCAGGAACATAACTATACCATGGCTCCTTAAATGTCAGATGTCCGTTGTAGTTCACCTGGGGGGAAATGTAGGATTGCTGTGAAAGTGCTATTCTWAGTAGTTTCTTTCTAAATTAAAAAAGAAAATGTATTTGACTTAAAAATGAAAATGAAAAAAAAATTACATAAATCTGAGAATAAGATTGTTCGAAATAATGAAATGGCTGTAGAAGTTGAATTTGTGGGGAACTTCCATCATCTGCATGAGAGGTTATTGTTCCAGAAATTTCATATAGAGGTCCTACAAACAAAGAAGAAGAAACATTACTTGTTTAAATATATACAGTGGTTTGCAAAAGTATTCATACCCCTTGAACTTTTCCATATTTTGTCACATTACAAC